CTCTATGCAGTGGTACTACTTCCTGAGATGCAATGACCCGGGAGCCGGGATGACAATTTAAGTTCAGATACCGAACTTTAAATAGATAACTATTTTTTGAATAATTATCTTGTAGAATATATAATACAAACGATAGAGCATATATATATATAGTCAAACTTAATATGAAATTCGCCTGAACCTAACTTAAAATATATATTGATATTATATAGATATATTTGTTGAATATTTAATTTTTTTTTTAATAAAATATGATATATCATATCTCAATACTTGAAAACTGCTAAGTTGGAGTGTGGTAGAGGCAGAGAGAATCTTCGATAGAGCGATGAAATGCGTAGAGATTAAAAAGAACACTAATGGTAAAAGCACTTTGCTGGGTCGACATTAACACTAAAAGATAAAAGCTAAGGGAGCAAATGAGATTAGATGCCCTAGTAATCCTAGCCATATACGATGGATTATGAGCGCTATGTGTATCGACCCGTGCAGCTAACGTGTTAAGTATCCCACCTGGGGAGTACATTCACAAGAATAAAACTCAAAGGCATTGAAAGGGGCTCGCGCAAGCGGTGGAACATGTGGTTTCATTCAAAGCAAAGCGAAAAACCTTACCAGGGCTTGACATATTGCGAATCCTTTTGAAAGAGAAGGGTGCCTTTGGGAACGCAGACACAGGAGGTGCATGATTGTTGTTGCACGTCACTCGCGCGACATTAGCTGACTATTTTTGTTTATTTGATTTGATTGGTTTTTGAGAGTCGTCACCTAATATTATGGTAATTAGGAACCTATGGTCTGCGAGAGTCTTGGTAAGGAACTAGTTGTGCAAGGGAAAGACACATCGCCCCTAGTGCACCTTACCTATCGCCCCTAGTGCATCTTACCTAAAATAAGCTGCATTGTTGTTTGATTGTTTTTCTAGGTTGGGTATCTATTTATTGGTCTTTTCTAAGGCTCAAGGCAGATCTCTCTTTATGAGAAAGTCTCTATCTTATCAGGTTAAATCTTAACTATTCTAAAGTCTAAATTTTAGCATCACATTCTAAAGTCTAAATCTTAACTATTTACATATTTTATCTTTAATGCATGAGGGTGTACTTTATCATGTAATTTTACACCCATAAATATTAAAGTCTACATCTGAATCCTAAAAAAAAAGATTGGAAAAAGATTTTTGATATTTTGATCAAAACCTGATAAATGATCATAAACTAGATATGATATCCATTTTTTTTTTTTGGGTTTTCAAAACATGAGAAATATGCAATTTTTTTTATTGAAAACATGTTTGAAATTTTTTTTAGGATTTGACCGTATGCATGAAAATTTATTTTTTTATTTTTTTTGAAATATTTCATAGAAAATTGAGTATTTTAATATCATTTTGTTACAATGTAAATATATAACCCAATATTATGTAGAATTGATAGAAAAATATTTGAGAAAAATCACAAATTTTTTAAAAGGATTTTTAATTTTTTGTGTTTTTCTAATATTATAATATATTATTAAAAAAAATAAAAAAAAATAAAAATCTACATGGGCTGGGCTGGCTCATGCACAAATGAGATTGGGCCAAACTTGGCCTAAAATGATTAGGCCAATCTCGGCCCAACACATTTATGTTTATTTATTTTTTAGGGTTGGGCCAGACGAGGCCCCTAAATTTGGGCTATGCCATATGTGGCCCGACCCAATGTCCACTACATGAGCAATGGGCGTGAATTGTTTACAGCAAGCATTAGCGAAGAAGAAAAAGGAAAGGGAAGGGAAGTAGGAAGATAACTGGTGTGAGGGTGGTCCAATTGAGGAAGATGACGCGGTGCAAGCGGTGACAACATTAAAGAGTTGGGCCGCTAGGGTTGCTGCTGCTATCGCGGTCGGTGTTGGGGTTGCTAGCAATTGGAGTGGATGAGGAGAGAATCGCCACCTTTACTGCTGCTGGTAGCGGTGGAAGCTGCTGGAAAGGATGGTTGTTGATGTAGTTGGGGTCACGGTAATAGAGTGGGAAAAGAGTTTGTTAGAGAAGAGAGAAGGGGAGAGAGAGCTGGTGCAGCTACCACGTGAGGTTGTTGGGTCTTTGGCTGTGATGTAGAATGTATGGGAAGGACAGTGGTGAGAGTGGTGGAGGCTGAAGGCATGGCTGAGAATGAGAAAACAGAAAAAGATAAAAACAAGAGGGAAAGACTAATTTTTTTATCAACTTTCAACTTGATTTTTTTCTTCCCTCGTCCATTAAATCCACTTCTATTTATAAGAGGTAGAAGAGGGCAATTTTTTCTTTATGAGAGAAAAATTTTGAGCTCTTAATTCGACTAGAAGACTCTAAACCATCGGTTTAAAGTGTGAACCTCAAATTATCAAATTTGACAGTCCAAGGTTGCCTGAGGTAACCATTTTAGGCTGGTCATCGGAGCATTTTTTACGTTTATAGGCCTGAACGAACCATACACGAGGATAAAAGGATTTCAGGTGGCCATTTTGGTGCATGAGTTGTCAATTTTGGAGGACAAACAAGGCATTAAATGCATCTGCAAAATTACTACTCTTACAGCTTCACGAGGAAGATGATGAACAGTGACCAGGCAACGCGTCGCTGGTCTCCTCTTTTTTTTTTTTTAACTCAAAACGGCAGGACAAACAAGGCATTAAATGCATCTGCAAAATTACTACTCTTACAGCTTCACGAGGAAGATGATGAGCAGTGACCAGGCAACGTGTCGCTGGTCTCCTCTTCTTTTTTTTTTTAACTCAAAACGGCGCAGTTTTTGTTTAAATGAAGTAGTTTTGATTGATTTTCAATTTAGTCATCCTTCTTTCAAATTGTTTCAACGGAACCCCTAATAGACCCTAAACTTTTAATTTAATGCAATTTGGTCCTGGCGTAACTTCAACTTCAACCCTGCATTTACGCGCCTTTTGCATTATAGTTCTTGATCTCAGATTTATGCAATTTAACCCTTAATTAACTATTAAACTTTCAATTTCTTCGATTTCACCCCTGGTTTTTGTCAATTAAGCCCCTTTAATTTCAGCGCCTTTGACAAAAACATCCTTGGCTGTCAATTTCTTTAATTTAACCCCTAATTGACCCTAAAACTTCAATTTTCTTGCAATTTGGCCCCTAATTTCAATCAATTAACTTGGTAAAAATTAAATTTGGTCTCTTAAAATTTCAATCTTCTCAATTAAGCCCAAATTAGGCTCCCAAACTTAATTTTTCACCAATTAAGCCCTAAATAAAATTAATTTGACCCATTTAAAGTATAATTAAGTCCTTGTACCTAATGAAATCCTTTAATTGGATCCAAATTAATTCTCAAACATAATTAAAATTTAATATGGCCCATGATTAAATGAAATTGACATATTAAAAATTTAATCATGTCTTTGAACTTAATTTTTATACAAAGTCGTCTAGTAATCATTTAATTTGACCTTAAATTTGCATTGTTTTCTATTTTTGGGCATAACGGAGTACAATTAGATCCTAAATTTCTTCAAAAATTACAGCTTAATTTCCCGGCCTGTTTTTCTTCATATTACCAGCTTTTATTTTATTTTTTGATTTTTATTTTTAAAAAAATTAATTTTTGGGTTAAGTCCCACAACGAGCACAACCCTCATATTTAGTTACCACCGTTAAGTTTGGAACCTTGAACATACTACCAATGATAAGTTGGAGGAAAGTGAGAATGATATCAAGTCATCATGTCCCTTTATGCCCTGGACGACACACGTGCTACAATGACAGGGATAAAGGGTTGCGATCCTGCAAGGGTGATTTATCTCTAAAAACCCGTCCTTAGTTTAGATTACAGGCTATAACTCGATTGCATGAAGCCAGAATCGCTAGTAATTGCTAATCAACCATACAGTGGTGAATTCATTCCCGGGCTATGTACATATTGCTTGTCATACTATGAGAGTTGGCCATGCCCGAAGTCGTTATCTTAACCACGAGAGGGGATGCCAAAGACAAGACTAGTGACTTGAGTGAAGTTGTAATAAGATAACCATACTAGGAAGGTGCGGTCGGACACTGCTTGACACTAATATATGAAACACACACACACACACACACACACACACACACACACACACACACACACACACACACACACACACACACACACACACACACACACACACACACACACACACACACACACACCCATATATATATATTAAATAATAAGTAATAGTAAATAATGAATATCCAAAACTGGATAGTTTATGAAGCCTAAATTTTTTACTTAATGAATAATAAATAAAAATATGGATATAAAATAATCCAACCCGTGCCATTTCCATCCCTGCCTGGGAGCAAATTTGTCTTGATTTCTTTTTGTTCATCTCAGTTCTCAGAAGCTTTTCTTCCTGCAAGACATGTATTTGCATCATGAACCGTATTGTGGGGGGGTGCGTTTACGAAACTTAAATTGCATATCATCTCATGGTGGTAGATCATCTGTCACTATCTTCTATCACTTACAATCTAATGCAGAAAAAGTTGAAAAGACAAAACGATATGGTTGCTCTGAGAAATGATGGTTGACTGTATCTAGGGTTATATCAGCAGTCAGCAACTACGAAGCAATCTTTATTGCTGATTTTGAAGAATTTATGTTCACTTTGCATTCCTGCAGTAACTTTGCAAGAACCTTCGAAGCTATCCAGGTTACATTCTCGTGGTTTGTGGAAAATTCATTTTCACGAATTAACTGTGGAGTCAAACCAGCGAAGTGTTCCAAATTAAGAATCAGTGACGGCAGTGGAATATGACAGTTCTCCATGGGATTTGCTTGGGAAACAACTCAGCTTATTTGGGTGTGGCATTGCTGTATATTCTCCCCACTTCTTTTCTTCCTTTCTGGACAATTTTGGTGAAAATACCCTATTGGAACGTGATAAACTGCACTTCATGATGGTAATAGAAATCAAGTTGATGGAACAGGAAAAAGGAATTATAAAAATGTTTTGACAAACAGAGTTATGAGTATCAAATATCCCAATTCAGTAACAGGCAATGCTCCTTTGCTGTACCGATCTTGAAGAAGTATTCAAGAGTTCCAACAAATCTAACCTAGACTCGGTGGTATCAAGGTCATAATTATTGCCATATGTTCCTTGATCTGAATATGACACCAAACAAAATGACAAGCTGTGTATCAGAAGATAACACCAATGCCAGAACACAGTTCAACATGCCAAGATCCGAAGTCATTGAGAATAAAAGTACATACAAGACACTCGACCGCTATAATTCAGCTAGGTTTCTCAAATACCCACATCCACCACACAATCTGGAGAGACACCTAACGAAATACCTGAGGATGTATTGAAAATATATATTGATGCATCTAGTGTGCCAAATCCCAATTTCAAATGTAGCTATTATTCGATACTCATGTAACAACTCTATAGAGTTACTGCCTAGGAGTGTCAAAATTCAAGCTACCATAACAGAGCAGTTCAATATAAAGTTACTCAGCCTGTTTCTGCCACACTCAAGAGGCCTCCATTGCAATTCTTCAGCTTCAGAATCAGGTCTGCAGGTGTATATAGCCATGCCATCCCCGGAATAAGAAACTGTGGATGTAGATGCACCTATTACAAGCAGTTCATTGCCCAGAGACTTGAAGGCTACACCCCATCCTTTGTTAGAATCTGCTCTTACCGGCACTGCTCCTAATTTCTTCCATGTTCTGCTCTTTTTCAAGTATACCTTCAACTGGTTTGATGAAGGCTCAAGGGAGTAAAGCTCATTGTTCACAACAGCAATGAGGGGTGGAGATTGGAAAGTAGCAATTGGTGTATTCTCCAACATGTCTGGGATCAGGTCCCATGCCCTTTTATCCTCATCATAGGCTTCAGCACAAGTCAGAACATTTCCCTCCTCGTTCCGTCCTCCAATCACATAAAATTTGTTATCCATGAAACAGCCAGAGCAAAGCTTTCTTCTTTGCCGCATCCTTGGAAGGTCTTCCCATGATTTAGTATCTGGATTATATTTCTCTGCAGAATTTAGAACATCAGCACCAGTGCCGGTCACTCCACCAGCTACAAAAGCAAAGGCACCACAGGATGCAGACGCAAACAAACACCTAGGATTGATCATGGAAGGACCCTTATTCCAGCTGTTTGTTTCCAATTCATATCTCCAAACAACAACCCCCTCTATCTCCCTGCCTGAAATAATCAGATGGGTCCCTGCACAAAGGGATTCCTTATCTCCAAAAGAGAAACAACAGTCTGCTGGTAGATCTGGAAGTTTCCTGCGAGAACAGAATTGTCTATCAAATGCCCACCAACTTTTGTCCCCCGTCGCAAAAATAAAAACAGATGATTCTCTAACACCAATTTCCCTCCTAATCTTAAAGAGCTCACCACTCTTTACAAGTGAGAGTATCCGCTTGTTCACGTTTGGAAACTTCCAGTACTCTGATCTTGGAACTCTTGCCAAAATCAGATTCTCTAGCTCATCGCTGAGTTGGGGGGCATAGAAGTAATCTGCATCCTGAGGTTTTACATTTGACGAATCACCAACTCTACCATTGCTGCAAGAGAAATTATAACACCCCGATCCTCTACTAATTTCACAAACAGCAATCTTTTTCATCGGGGGGCTATTAGAAGTAATCCAAGAGCTATTGCCAGAGTCCTCTGCCAGCATCCTTTTCTTACTAAGATCAGGATCATTTCTGCTCACATCCCCTCTTCCATCTTCACTCCCCAAATCTTTTCCTTTGGACATGGATCAAAGACCTTTTCAAAGCCTGAAATTCTCTGTCATCGAAAGAACAGAACAAATAAAAAATGCCAGATTATCATCAACAATCAAAATACCAATATGCAGAATTCATAATATTTGAAAAACATAAAGCAAACAATTTTGTTTTCAACAGCTAAACAGATGAGTGAATATGGATACACCTCGCTAAAAAAACTAATCCCCTGAGAGTTTTCATACTATAGGAAATGATTAGATATACGTTAAAGATCTAGAAGCAGCAGTTTCTACCCAGATGATAAATTAAACCAATTAACCATTTCGGAGACACGAAACAAATCAAAACTAACAAAAAGAAAATCTCCCGACCCAAGAGATTAAAGAGGATATGAACCCAGAAACATGGCTTGGATTTAGATTCCAAAAATGGGTTAACGAGAATACCAACTACATAGACAAAGCAAACCCAGATGAAAACTTAACAGCTCTATGCCATGAATCAAACTTGATCAAGATTCCATCAATGAATTAATAAGAACATGATTCAAATTCAAGCAAGAAACAGTGTACATATCCACCAACCTCAAACGATATATTGAAGTTCAAAATCAAAGAACACTTCTGTATCACCAGTTGATCAAAACAACAGAATGAATCAACCCCAACAACAACAAAAAAACAATTTAACAAGATGAGAGCTTTAACCAAATTAGCCAAAAGGAAGGAGAAAGTACAGTGACATGGATTAGATTGGTAAGTAATCCAAAAGTCAAAAGAACACAAAATGGATACACACCCAACAAAGCAAGGCCAAAAAAGTACCAAGAAATGTTCTTCAGACAAAACATATATACACACAAACAGAGAGAGGGAGGCGTACCAGTTAAGGTAATTCCTAGTCAAGTCAAGTCAAAGGAAGTGAAGTAAATGAAGGGACGGTTACAAAAAGAGATAGAGAAAAGAAATCATCAAAGAAACGAGGGTTTTAAGGGTTAGAATGAAGAGAAAAGAGATGAGAGAAAATATTTAAAAATCAATAAGGAAAGAGAGAGGAAGAGCAGAAGCACGAGATAGAGAGAGGTTTATAATAAGTGTATGGATGATGGCGAGAGAGTTCAATTTGGAGACAACACATTTGTTAGAGAGGATTTCTTTTCTCTTTTTCTGAAAAAAAAAATTTGCTTAATTAATTTAGCTCGAGTTATTGTTTGTGGGATTATAATACAATTAATTTAATTATTCATTTTCAGTTGTTGGTGTTCTTCTTGGCTGTTACTAGCATCATCACCTCCAGCAACACAACAAAGCATTAACTATCTATCCTTTTCTTTTTCTTTTTCCTTTTCTTTTTGTATGGTAATTTATAATTTCCTCTTCAAGAATAGAGGATTCATTATGCAATATTGTGTTTTTTTTATTTGATATGATATATTCAAAGTAATTTATTTCTCCAATCGATTAATTTTTTTAAATTCATTTAAGAATTTGTTTTCCAGCTATCGATAATTTCTTTTTTGATACCTCTAAACTATGTTATATTTGAATTCAATTCATTTTTTAGTCTTATTTTTTTAAGGTTTCATCCAACTGTTACACATAAAAGTCACGAAACTATTTTTTTTTAAAAAATCATTTTTACATTTTAATTATGTTTTTCTTTTATTAATTTTTTTTTTTGCTATTTTTCATCTTTTCCATTTCTTAATTTTAACAATCACATGATTCTTATAACAATATTCATTAATACATGGATGAATCCTTAAGAAAAATTTAAAAATAGATTGGATTTCAAATGAAAAACGATTCATAGAGTTTAAATCCAAAACCGGAAATTCATGGATTAATTATTCTTAAACAAGTTATGAAATAAGTGTTGATTATAAATATTCACCAAGTGTAGGCAGGCTTACAATATTCATAAAAACAAAAGAAAAATAAACATTTTAATTGTTCTAAAATAACATTTTACATGCGAGGAAAAATAATTAAGGAAAGCTTGATCTAATATATGAATGATCTCGTAAACAATTGATTATGTTAAGAAAGCATATCCTTTTATGGTTTGATCAATCAACTTCCTTGCATGTTTGAAATTCCATCCTATGGTTTGAAGCATGTGGGTCAAAACGATGAACATGTCTTAATCCCTTAACCCTAGTAGTTGAAATTTCGATTTTTGGTTATTATATATATATATATATATATATATATATATATATGTATATATAGGTTTTAAGGCCAAGAACACTTACAAGATTCGGTAAAACATGGTTTCTGTCATCTCTTTCTTCAGTTGTGTAAAGCAAGAGAAAAATGGGATGTTGAGGAGAACCATAATGAGATGTTTTTTGTTTGATTAGGAAAGCGTCAAAAGTCCATTTTGATGGGTGAGCATATCGCTAGCGTGGAAGAAATCAAGGCTTTTGAAAACGATTTTACGCTGTTTTGTTGAGCATAATTATCCCATCCCCTAGCTCTAAGTTTTGGTTAGGGCATGGAAGTTGATTAAACTTAAACCTATTTTAAAATAACACATTTTAAAAAATAAAAATATAAATCACTTTTAACCAAAATAATAAAAGATATATTTAGAGTTGATCTAATTAGATCTTATCCAAATTTAATCAAGTCAACTAAATAGCATATGATGAAATCATCTTTCTAAACAAGTCAAAAGCAAATCTAATCAATTTAAACTTCGAATCAAGGGATCACAAAATTTATCCATGGAGCTAGAACAAATTTGATTACTATGATGGTGAGTAGTTACTAATTTTTGGATTCTATTTTTTAATTTTTCTATATTATATATTAATATAGGTATATATATTTATATATCTACAAAAAATTAAATTAAGAATTTTGAAATCACCTTAATTTATGTGATTTTCTTCTAATGAGAATTAGCTTGTCTTTTTGTAAGCAATATAGGGTATGAATTCATATTTTCTTTTCTAGTTTTTTTTGGTCGGTAAAGTGATCAATTCGTTTATGCAGCTCACCTTAATTTCTGTAATTTTCTTTCTATGAGATTTAACTTGTCTTTTTGCAAGCAATATAGGGTGTGCACTCACGTTTATTTTTTGCAGTTTTTTTTGCCGGTGCAGTTCAATTGTTTATTTAAAGTGTTTTTTAAATTGTTTTCATATGAAGATATATCAAATTAATTAATATATAATGAACTGTTTTGTATATTTTTATTTTTTAAATTGATATTTTTAATAATTTTAATGTTCTGATATTAAAAATAAAAAAATTTAAAAAATTATTTTGATATATTTTTAATAAAAAAAAATATGACAGTAAGAGCACCCTGCACGATTACACTAATTTAGACCGTATTTTGGGATGCAGGGAGGAACAAGACTATTGTTTCTGAGAGAAAAGGTTGTGTCGACTAATTTGAACCTCTTCTTTTATCGGATCTTGTAAGATGAGCTTTGCGGAAGCAATTCGAATCACGTTGTTGTATAATTTTGACCTAAGCAAATCCTTTGATTTTGTAGTGGAAACGAGATTAGAAATTAAAAACTTTTTCATGTAGCACTTGTACTTAGTTTTAGTTAATCAAATTATTTATTTGTCAGTGCTTCTAGAGGACTGGTAATCATAATTAAAGAGGTTAAACGTACGAGTGAACCATTCTTGTTTTAATGTGTAATGCCACGCATATAAAGAAAACATTAAAAAAAAAAAAAGAACGGCCAAATATTTAGTAAAAAAAAAACGAGATCATTTTAATGGAAAAAAATTAAAAAAACATGCTGAAAGTAGGGTTTTAAATAAACGAGATCATAATTAAAGAGGATAAACTTGATTTTTTTCCAAAACAAGTTATTTTTATTTATTTAAGTTATTAGTATTTTACTTAATTATATATTGTCAATTCAATATATATGAAAGCAAATTATATTTAGTGTCCACTTTTTTATTATTTTTATGTTTTATGCTATAAATAAAATGATAATTCTTTTACCAACTAGGATTTGAGTTTAATTTTATCAAGAGTAAGACACTTCATATTCAAACTCTAAATAAATTAAAAAATTATATTTGAAAAAAAAAAAACTATCTTCCCATCATATCCGAAAGCTAGTTGAGCTTTAACCTCTTGTTGAAAACCCAAAAGAAGAAAGAAAAGTAGAGAATCCAAGCAACTCAATCATGATTATCAAGACACAAGTACTTTTATAAATGTCGATTGGTACCAACTAATTAATATAATCCGATTAGGCCAATTACTGCCTACCTTTTTTGTTTGGAATTTTAGCTGTAACGCCAAGGTAATTAGTTCAGACTCTCGCAGAAATTACGTGTTAGTGACGTTTGATCATGCCTGGAGTTCTGTAGAAATTTGACATCAAAATTATTCAGCAAAATTCTCTCTTAATTAATATATATATATATATCGTGTAATTAAAGCAATTAGGGAAGATGATTATTGAGCTTGTAGCCCTTAATTAAAATAAATAAATACTGAGATCTCTTGTTTGCATATCACCTTCCCAAATCAAAGCACAAAAGAAAAGAAAAGGAGCTTAAAATAACTTCAAGATTCACAGGCATGTGAACGTATGAATGATCATCATGGCACCCTTTGCTCTCTTCGAAATAGTTGTCACTGTAAAATAACTTTGTTTTATCCTTGGATCTTCTCTAGTCCCAAAATTATACTGCCCATATATATATATATATATGGCTCTTGTTTCTGAGAGAAAAAGAAATAAGAAAAAAAGGTCATGGCTCTTCAGTGGAAAGAACATTTATTATAATCATCATAGCTATTAAAATCATTAATTTAATAATCAAGAGAATTCTTAAGCAAAGAACATAATGATAATAATTCCCGATTACTATCAAAATTGACCCCATTGATTCAAAGACAAAAGAAAAAGAAAAAGAAAAATCAGTGTCAAGTTTACATTTATCTAAAACAATGGATAGCTATAATTTGTTTCCAGCACGAAATTTAGTGATTTTCATTTTTACATCGTTTATAAGAAAATTATAATTTTGTATTTGCGACTATTTAAAAACTAATATAATATACCTGTGATTTGTTTCTCGTGCTGTGACAATTAAATGGACTAATTAAATATGCCTTATTATACTCTAAATATATATATAAAACTTGGTTAGATAAAATATATGATATATTATTTCTTAAAAATAAATAAATTAAGAGGATGCTTTTGATAATTGATTAATTATACATGGGCTAGTAACTTAACATGCATATTAATCTGATCTCTGATCTCCTGGTAAGAACAAAGACAAGGGACATGTTTATCTCTTAACTATCATTCAAAACTAAATTGAAAGCCAAAAAAAAAAAAAAAATCCAATTGAGTCCCACATCCATTGAACATTATCCAATTAACTCTCATCTTAAAATTCTTGCTTTTAAAAAAAAGTGAAAAGGACTTATTTTCTTAAGATAATGCACCACTTCTAGACTGGTGGGTAATGCATGATAGATGGAGGATTCAATTGATAATTGCGACAAATGTGTCATTTTCTTGCAAGAAATAATAACAATAATAATAATAAAAGTCCTCCTTCGTGTCGCGGCCAGGATTTTTCCTTCATGAATTGGCTTTAGGTGTTTCTTGTTAGCAGCTCTTAGCGCTAAAAATAGAAGAAGAGAAAAGAAGCCTGGGAGGCGTTAATCCACGAGGACTTCAGAGGGTTCATCCTTGATTAATCAAAGTTTCTAAGTGAACAATCTGGAATTGAGATAATTGGCAAAGCTGACTCTTTTGTCGTTTGCCTTTACGAATTTGGAATTTTCCTCTTTCATTCATCTTTTCCCTCTTTGAACAACCAGACAACAAGCAAACCAGAAACCAGACGACAGCAATTATCACTTATTCAATTATGCTCGATATAAGTTATGCTTCTTCCTTTTTCCTTAATAAAAAACCCTTTTAAGATGATTATATATATTTATATTCCTCATCGATTTAGTGTATTTAGAAAAAATAAAACGCTTCTAAAGATAAGATAAAGAAATTGAATCTTGTTCCCCCCAAGCTACAGTTACAAAATTAATGGGAGATTTAGGTTGAATAACTGAATTTAATTAATAAAAGAATAAAGAGAGAGACCATAAGATTTATATCCAAAAAACATAATATAAAAAGAGATCATTACGTACCATTTTTTTCTTT